AGTTCTCAGGTACGTGGCAATGTTCATGTAGAGCAGAATCGCCCTATGGACCGGTACGAGGCGGAGCGCTTGGAGAAGAGGAAGAAAGGCTTCTGCTATTGGTTCAGCAGGGGAAAAGATCGCTGCAAATTTGGTGAACACTGCAAATTCATCCATTCAGAAGATGATGTGGTGCTGCAATCGTATTGGTGCAAGTACTATGTGGCTGGGAGACACTGCTTCTCTGGAAAGGAGTGTAAGTTTTCACATGATGCAACTGGTGTAAGGTGTATCCAGTTTGCTCAGTCTGGGAAGTGCCGTTACGGGGACAAGTGTGTCTTTGAGCATGGTGATCCGCTGGATGAACAGAGGCCAAGGTCTCCAAGGACGCCCCCAAGGGATGGTCCAAGGAGAAGTTCTGGTGCAAAAGGTGGAGAAAAGGAGATCTCTCCTGAACGGTTCGATGAAGATGAGGAGGATTTCATGGGTTATGACGATGATACCAAAATGGTGGAACTGTTGATGGAGGCGATTTCATTTATGTCCAATGGCAAGTCAGATTTGGCTCGTGCAGAGGCGGACCCAGTGTTCAAACTCCTGAAGTTCAAGGGAGACGCTGAACTGATGGATAGAGAATGGTGCTCATGGACCACTGGTATGTTGTCTACACTGGAACTTCACGAAATAGTGAAGTCGTATGAGGTTTCGCTGGCGGAGGTGGAAGAATGGGTCAATGACCTGAGGATATGGTTTGAGCGAGCCAATGTTGAAGAAGAGAGAGATCCCAAAAGGGGAAAAAGAGGTCCCTAGAAAGGGAGTCCAGCAAGGATATTCCTGCCGAAAAGGAGGTGGTTGAAACTTCGGAGACGGATGTTGCCGTTGAGGAAGAGGTGAAAAAGGTCAAAAAGAAGAGGAAAACTGCAGCTAGCGAGGATCCTTATACTCTCATGGTTCCAAAGCCGAAGAAGATGCCGGCGATCATTGAGAAGGGTGGATCATCATCCAATGCGGTGGTTTCTGCAGGGGAAAAAGCCTCTTCGAGAATGCGCACAAAGTCAAGCGTCGTGGGAAAGACGAAGAAGAAGGAGAAAAGTTCAAGCCCCAAGAAGGAAGAGGTGGTAGTGGTGAAAGGTCCTGAGGAAAAGGATCGTTCCTCTGATGTGGATGCGCAAGCGTCTACCGCTGTGGGTGCAGAGCTGGGTCAATCTTGCCAAGCGATTGAGGACGCGAAGAGAGAGGGATTGGTATCCTCAATTCAAAGGTGCGTGCAGGATCCTGTTCTTACAGTGTCGGACCTAGAGTATGTTCTGCTGCGACTTCACCTCAGTATCGATACCCATCGGAAGAAGAAGTGACTGGATGGTATGGATGAAGGGATGGTTTTTCTCTTTCAGAAGACAGGTGCGCTGGAACAGCCAATGTGCTGAAAATGCGGTGGTTACTATTAAGGGTATGGAAATCCCTGATAGTAGAAGTCAGTAGCTTTTTGCGTAGCGAAGACCACGGTTCGTGGTGAAGAAGACCGAAGAGTCTTCAATGACAAGAGGATCATGGTGAAACAAGATTCTCTGTGGTTAATGGGTTTAGCCAATGTGCTATAAATTCGTCCTGGATGACGTAAAACCATAATGTGCATTTCAGGCAGCTGGCTGCTGCCCTAATGGCAGTTTTTGGCCAAAGATCTGCACCTCCAATGTGTCCTAGGAAATCCTAGGACAGGGGGAGTGCGGAGCTGCAGTTGGTATTGTAGAAAGGAGTTGGTGTTGAAAGTTGAAGGGTCAATGTACCTGTTGATCTTCATGGCTCAAGACTGGGCCATGCGCCTGGTAGCAAAAAGAAGTTTTGAGTTCCTGTTGTTTGCTGGTTGGTTCAGGGTGAAATCTCTGGCGACTGTTGGGGTTGGTTCCCTCCCCCTTTCGGTTGCCCCCGTACCCTAAACCCTAGGATTCCCTCTAAGGGCCGGGGATTGCGTCAAAAATTGGGGGGGGGGGTTGAAGGGTTGCGAAATAATGGCCAATTTGTGGTGCCCATTACATTGCGGAGCCTTTGGCTACTGGGGACTTCAAGTGGGCCACCAATTAGAACACGGCCGAACGCAGTGCATGAATCCACGCATCCGTACATGCTGCCCAGGTAGCCACGTCCTTGATGTGGGCGATCAACTCCTGAGACAGGCTTTGGCCCAATTCAAAGTTGAGAGGGCGTCAGGGCTTTAAAAAAAAGGAAGCCTAAAACGTTCAAAACGCCGCAACTCAAAACCCCTGAGCCCTGAGCCCTCGGGAATTTGCGAGGGGTCCTGGGGTTGAGAGGTTCTGCACGTTCCAACCTCGGGGGGAGCAGCTCAGCGACTAATGGGGAGTGGACTCCTTATGAAGCCCTAGACTTGGGATGTTCCCCCTTATACTCACGGTCCTTAATTTCTAATGGGATTTCAATAAGGGGGGGGGGGTACTATAACCCCTATGAAGGACTGTCAGGATAAGGGGGACATCCAAACCCTGAAGCCTGAACGCCTGACAGCCCTCAGCCCTGACGCCTTAGCCTATGTCGGGCTCAGTCGGCATGAACCCAACAGTCGTGCGACATCCAATGATGTCGGAGTCAGACAAGGAAAAGGGACGATCGGTTTAGGGTTTAGGGTTTAGGGTTTACGTAGGTGTCGTGTGCCAGAACCTGCCCCAAACCCCTAACACACCAAAGCCACCACCCTGATCCCTGAAACCCCTAAACCCCTCAACCTTAAACCCTGAACCCTTGAACCCTAGAAGTGAACCGGGTAGTGCAACCGAGGCTCCAGGTTGTTCTTCTGCCCAAAGACGCCAGGACTCAGCTGCTTCCGAAAGTACTTACCTGACACGCGAGGGTTTAGGGTTTAGGGTTTAGCGTTTGGGGTTTAGGGCTTAGGGATTCACATAGGGTTGCGGTTTGGTTTAAGGGACTGGCGCGTTTTCGACAGGGCTTCTAGACCCCCACCCCCCGCAGGATTGCTCTGGACTTGGGGCGGGGCAGCCCCCCCTAAACCCTAAAGCCTAAAGCCTAAACCCCAAACCCATGCAAGGTCTAAGGCCCAAGGCCTAGGCCGGAGTGCAAGTCAGGACAGGAAAGCCATGTGAATGCCTCCCGCCCAAAACTGCCTCCAAAACCTTTCGTAGAAGCCAACTTTTCCCCGAAAGCCTAAACGCAAAAACTCTAAACCCCAACCCCCAAACCCTAAACCCTAAACCCCCAGAGCCAAGAGTCCTTGTAGAAGCCTAGAGCCAGCCTGCATATGCCTCAATTCCAAAGCAGGCGGCTGTAGTAGTAGGACAGATGTGGCTCGGGGATCAGCTTTCGATCCTCGTCATCCACGTCCCGCTTGAAGGCCCTGAGGAAAGGCTTTTGTAGTTTCAAGGTGTAGGGTCTAGGGGTTTAGATTTAGGGTTTAGGGTTTTGGGGTTTAGGGTTTGGGGTTTAGGCTTTGGGCTCTACCACCGCAGCAAGAAAAAGCGCTCAACCCCAAACACCAATTGGGCAAGGATCTCTGCTTACGGATCTGGGGTGTTGAGGGTTTAGGGTTTAGGGTTTAGGGTGCTGAGATCTGGGGCCAGCAGTCTGGAAGATATAAGGAATCCAGGTTAGGGTTTGGGGTCTCTGGCTGCTTTTCCATGGGCTTCCCTATACTTCCAGAGACCTATGCGTCGTGCCCTGCAGTCACTGGAAGTATAGGTTGGGATGTTCCCCCTTCTTTTCTGGTCTTCATAGTGAATCAGAATTGAAACCCACGCCCCTAAAGCCCGAAGCCCCTATATAAACCCCGAAGCCCTAAACCCTAAACCCGAAACCCTAAACCCTAAACCTAAACCTAAACCCTAAACCTAAACCTTAATCTTCACAGTGAATCAGGGAATGAAGTGCTTTAAATATCCCCATAAAAAACGTCGAGATAGGGTACCTGATTTTCGAGTTCTACATCACGAACCTCGGAGGAGCCTGGTTACCCCATGGCTCTTTTGCCTAAAGCCTAGGACTATCACCTGGTCTATCTCAAGACCCAAAACCCTGGTAGCCCTAAACCCCAAACCCCAAACCCCAAACCCCAAAACCCAAACCCTAAACCCTAAACCCCAAACCCTAAACCCTAAAGCCTAAACCTTAACCCTAAACCCTAAACCTTATCCTGGCGAGGATCTCCTGCAGCAGATGCAGCTCGTATCGAAGCTGCAACCTTTCTTGTCTCTGGAACGCATCAAATGTAGCAGGAGCACCTAAGCCCTAAAGCCTAAACCCCAAACGGTTTAGGGTTTAGGGTTTAGGGTTTAGGGTCTAAACCCTAAACCCTTATAACCCTAAATAACCCTAAACAAAAAAAACCTACGCCGTTTCGGGGCTTGTATGGCAGGCAGGATCGAAATTCTGGGGCCCGGTCTCTTTTGTATGGGTCTGAGGTTTAGGATTGAGAGGGTTTAGGGTTTAGGGTTTAGGGTTTAGGGTTTAGGGTTTAGGGTGTAGGGTTTAGGGTTTAGGGTTTAGGGTTTGGGGTTTGGGGTTTGGGGTTTTTGGGGTTGGTTTGGGGTTTGGGGTTTGGGGTTGGAGTTTGGGGTTTGGGGTTTGGGGTTTGGGGTTTGGGGTTTGGGGTTTGGGGTTTGGGGTTTGGGGTTGGGGGGTTGGGGTTTGGGGTTTGGGGTTTGGGGTTTGGGGTTTGGGGTTTGGGGTTTGGGGTTTGGGGTTTGGGGTTTGGGGTTTGGGGTTTGGGGTTTGGGGCCTCTAGTACTGGGAGCTGCGCAGCTACACCTTCTTACGATTTTCAACCCCTGAGAATGACTCTCTGATATCACACATTCAGCTACGCCAGCAAGCCACTCCAGAAGAAAAACGGTGGAACTTTGTGTCAAGAAAGCTTCTGAAGCAAGAAGTTCGGCTCTCGATGTAGCCCCTTGCCCTAAACCCTAAACCCTAAACCCTAAACCCTAAACCCTAAACCCTAGACCCTAGACCCTAAACCCTAAACCTGTAGCCCCTTTATAAGTTGCAAGGAGGGCAGCAGTGCCCAGTCCACGGGCTCAAAGTTCGCGTACAGCGGCTCGCCGTCGCCGATGTCGTTCACATCCTGCAAGCGCAGGCTACTTGGTATAGCGTGTGTATATACATACACCAAAATATACATATACATATACATATACATATACATATACATCTACATATACATATACATATACATATACATATACATATACATATACATACGTACATACATACATATACATATATACAGATATGTGTGTTACAACTTAGCCACAGCCTTTAACGTCCTGCGAACACACGGAGCCTAAGAACCACAGGCAAAGACCGCAAAGTCCCCTTCAGCTCTACCTAAACATAGGGACTGCTGCTCTTGACTATAGACATACATATTTGTTTTTTTGTACAACTTCTTGGGAACTTGTTTATTTATGTTTGTATGTCCTTTTTTGTTGAATTTGTATCTCCTTTTTTGTCGGACTCTATTGAAACATATTTCTCACAGATTAGGTTGCCCACAAAAAGGGCTCATCATTATTCAGCCCCCGCTCCCCCCTCCCCCCCCCCGCCATTTCAAACTGAACCACACCCTGATGGTTTTGACCTCAAGTTCCACACCCTTCAAGTAAGGCAGGTATGAAAACTCATGCCTATAAGTATAGATATTCAGGGGATAGGGTTTCAGGGTTGAGAAACTTAGGGGGTTCGGGGCGTAAAGGGGTTTTTGGGTTAGGGTTTAGGGTCTAGGGTCTACAGTAGGGTCTACAGTAGGGTCTGGGGAAGAGGGGGGGGGGGGGGGGGGGGGGGGGGGGGGGGGGGGCCTCCACTGCGAAGATGTCGAGGTTGGCTCTGGCAGCAACGGATGCAGCATCCTCCTCCTTTTTCGGCTTTGCCTCGGCTCTCACTCCGAACCCCAATCCCTTGGCTGCACTTAGGGGGGTAGCTAAAAATTAAATTTTTAGCTGGCTTCTTAAGAAACCCAATAACCCCAAAAAGGCTAAGGATCTAAAGTTACAGTAAAGCACCACAAAGACCCCCAAACCCTAAACCCTAAACCCTTTATTGGGGTTGTAGGGTTCAGGGTTTATTCCACCCTTTTGAGAGGCTTGCCTTCATTTAGGGCTTAGGGATTACAAGTGGCAAACCCTAAACCCTCTAATAACTGTGCATCAGGACCAAGCTTGGCCCAACTACCACTAGCCTTGCTGATTGCAAGCTCTCTCACCACAAAAACCGACAACCCCAACCCAACATAAACTCCAAGACGCAAACCCTAAACCCTAAAACCCTAAATCCCGAAAACCGTCACACCCTCAAACCCCTTAAACACTAAACCCTTGAACCCCCCCCCCCCCCCCCCCCAAAAAAAAAAAAAAAGTAACCAACCCTAAAACCCGAAACCCCAAAACTGGCCCAAAACCCTAAAACCCGAAAACTCTGATACCCAAAACCTCTACGACCCTAAACCCTGAACCCCCAAGCAAAGGGGCCTTCCAGAGGTTCTGCTTTCTGCCCTGAACCCTAAAACCCTAAGACCCTAAAGCCTTAAACCCTAAACCCTGAACCCTGAACCCTAAACCCTAAACCCTGAACCCTGAACCCTAAACCCTGAACCCCTATAGCGAAAGGAGCCTTCCAGAGGTTCTGCTTCTGCTGAAGCCCTAAACCCTGAACCCTGAACTCCTATACCCTAAGGGCCCATATACCTTATCATTACATACTTAGACCCAAAAGTCCTTATATAGGAAGTACTTTAAGGCCCAAGTATTCCATGGACCCATAGGGATAGCAAAGAAGGGGCCTTCCAAAGGCTCTGCTTCTGCTGAAACCCTAAAACTCTAAACCCTGAACTCTAAACCCTAAACCCTAAACCCTCAACCCTAAACCCTCAACCCTAAACCCTAAACAAACCCTAAAACCCTAAACCCTGAACTCCCATAGCAAAGGGGCCTTCCAGAGATTCTGCTTCTGCTGGTAGTCCATCTGCTGCTTCTGCCACGCCAGGAACCTGGCGCGGCATCTAGGCGTTGGGTTTAGGGTTTAGGGTTTAGGGTTTAGGGTTTAGGGTTTAGGGTTTAGGGTTTAGGGTTTAGGGTTTAGGGTTTAGGGTTTAGGGTTTAGGGTTAGGGTTTGGGTTTCCAATTCAACCCCTAAACCCTAAACCCTATACCCTAAATCCGGAACCCGAAACTCTAACCCCAGGGCTGTTTGGGGTTAAGGGTTTAGGTTTAGGATCCTACACATAGCAACCAATAAGGTACCCCTTGTAATAGGCCCCCCCAAAAAGAAAACACCAAGACTTCAAAACCCTAAACCCTAAACTGCAGCTTTGCAAGCTACGGGCCGTAAACCGTCAGCCATGACAACGTCAATCCGCAGACCCTACAGTAAAGCTGCAAAAGCCAGCAGCGTACTTTGGGTGCAAGGTTTATAGGGCTGAGTTTTTTCGGGTGTTTAGGTTTTGGGGATTTTGGGGTTTAGGGCGCTCTGAGCACAATCCCCGCAACCCTAAACCCTAAACCCTACAAACCCTACAAACCCTACAAACCCTAAACCCTAAACCCTAAACCCTAAACCCTAAACCCTAAACCCTAAACCCTAAACCACCCGGAGCCCGAGCTGCTTCGTCGTGAAGATCTGCGAAGGCTGCGGGTCTTCGATGAGCGTCGTGCGCTTCGCCTGCTGCCCAAAGCCCAGGTTTAGGGTTTAGGGTTTAGGGTTTAGGGTTTAGGGTTTAGGGTTTAGGGTTTAGGGTTTAGGGTTAGGATTGAGGCCTGAACCCCAAGATAGCCCAGTAGCCATCTTCTAGTAATGGTATCGTTTTTGGCGGTTGGTCCCTTTACAAGGGAACCTTGAACCCAAAAAAAGCAAAAAGGTACCACTGGGCTCAGATCCAACAGACCTCCCCCCTCAAGAACTGCATCGCCACCACTACAGCTGGTTTCGGATAACCCTAAACCCTAAACCCTAAGCTCTAATCCCTAACGGTCTGTTAATGCAGCGACCTGAAACTCGGCTGCAGGCTGCCCCTCGAACTTACACCCCTACATCCCATAAAGACCCTGCAGCCTCTACACCCTAAACCCTAAACCCTACACCCTAAACCCCATTGGCCCTTCACGACCCTGACACACCACCCTAAACCCCCCCTCCCGCCCCCTCCCGTCCCTGCCCCTGCACAGGAGCACCTCCACGACCCACTTCCGCAGGTAGTCCCTGCTGGAATGAGCTTGGTCCCAGGCATACCTCGCACAGAGGGGGTCCAGGACTACGTCCTAGACCCCAAACACTGTCCTAAGAAAAAGGGTTGAGACCTTGGCTGAGTTGAACACTTATCTACGTACCCTAGACCTCAGAGGCCTTCAACCTAAGTCCCTCAACAAACTCGGGATCCTAAACGCCCCAAAATCCTTAAACCCTAAGCACCAAGCACCCTGAGCCCTAAACACAAAAGCAGCTCCTCGTTTCCATGATGCATCCCCCAAGTTGTGTGGGCTTAGGGTTTAGGGTTTAGGGTTTAGGGTTTAGGGGTCCACTCCACTCTTCGCCCCACCTCCCCCAGCCTAACCCCCGGCCACCCCAAAGGACAAGGCAAGAGGCAACAAAACACCTCTAACACCTTGTAGACCCCGAACCCAAAACCCTAAACCCTAAACCCTGAACCCTAACCCCCCCCCCCCCCCCCCCCCCCCCTAAACTCCCGACACCCCACATCACTGACGCCCGGAAAGCCTTCCTGGGCCCCCAAAGCGTGGCCTTAAACGATGGCCAAAGGGCCCTAAACAAACCTTAAGTCGCAAGACACCCTAAACCCTAAACCCTAAACCCCAAACCCCAAACCCCGAACCCCAAACCCCAAACCCTAAACCCGAAACCCTAAACCCTTGTCGACCAAGGAGCTTGATCTCGTCCCAGCCCTCAGCTTTCTCGGGAAGGGAGAACCTGCTGCTGGGGCTTAGGCTTTGGGGTTAAGGGCCCCTAGGGTTTAGGGTTTGGGGTATAGGGTTTAGGGTTTGGGGTTTGGGGTTTAGGGTCTAGGGTTTAGCACTTAGAGGGTGAGACGGGGCGCCAAACACCCTAAACCGGAACACTTAAGGGCGTTTAAGGGGTCCACTGGGGTGTGGGGTTCTGGTCGTCTAGGGAATTTAGGGCCTTCTGGGTTTAGGGCAGACATTTTGCGTTCATGGTTGGGACCCGGAAGAGCTACTAAACCCTAAACTCCAAACCCTAAACACCTAGAGCCCCGAAGCACTGAATCCCTAAAGCTCCAGGGCTCCCCAAACCCTAAACCCTAAACCCTAAACCCTAAACCCTAAACCCTAAACCCAAAACCCCAAACCCAAAACCCTAAACCCTAAACCCTAAACCCTAAACCCTAAACCCTCAGGGGACCCCACCTCGGACCCCTAGGTTGTAGCCTTGGGTCACAGGGTGTGGGGACCCTTTTTTTGAGATCCCTAAACCCTAAACCCTACAAGGTAATATAAAGGCCTTACTAGGAGTAGATGGGAGCTTATGGAAATAAGGGACCCCGAATAGCCCCCCAAAAAGTAGGATTCCCTTCTGTTCAGGACGATAAGGTACCCCATATTTCGGAAACCCCCATATTACGAGAAACCTTAGGAATACAACCTTTAGGGGTACGAGTCTGAATCCCTTTACTACTCCAAAGCTCTAAGACCCTAACCACCCGACCCTCGGCCCTGAACCGGTGACTCCACGCCCCATGAGGGTACAGGGTTCGTAAGGTTTTGGAGGCTTGGCAGGGTTAGTAGGGTTTGCAGGGTGTGTAGCCCTAACCCTAAACCCTAAACCAAAAAACCTAAATCCTGTATAGACTTTGCAGGGTTTGTAGGGTTTGGGGGGTTTTCGGCCAAGCAGCTGCTGAAGGAACTTCCGAAGCGTCGTAGGTGCCAGGTCTGGTATGCCTTGCCTGCGACTTCACGCGATTCGGGTTTAGGGTTTATTGCTTAGGAGATTTAGGAGGTACGGGTTAGGTTTAGGGTTTAGGGTTTAGTTTGGGGCTTAGGAGGTTTTCGGGGGGGGTTTAAGGGATTTAGTAGGATTTCAGGGATTTCCTTAGGGCAAATCCTGGGACTATGTACCTACAGTTTGGTAGAAACTACCCTTAGTTCGTAGGTATAGCCGACAAATCTGTAGGTAAAGAGGGTTGCAGGTAGGGCTTAGAGGTTTAGGAGGTTTAAGAGGTCTTAGGATTAGGGTTTAGGGTTTAGGGATTATAGAGTACTTAGTAGGATTGCGGGGATTTAGGCGCGACTCTTGGGGCTCTCAGGGTTTGGGAAATCAGGAGTTCGGGATGTTGGGATTGAGGGCTTCGGGCTTGGGACTTGGGATTAGAGCTGAAGGTTTTTGGGGTTTACGGTTAGGGTTTAGGGTTCAGGGTAGTAGTTGCTAAGTTATGTAGGGGGAATGAAGTAGGAGGGTAGCTGAATAGCTGAACTCGAATTACGAATACCTAATTACTTACGAAGTCCACCATCTCCCCTAGGAGGACTTCAGGGGTTGGGTCCAGAAGAGGGATTAGGTTTCAGGGTTCAGGGTTCAGGGTTTAGGGTTTAGGCCGTGCCTGTTGCGGAAGTACTTCTTCTTCTCCTGCAAGTATGACAGAAGTTGGCTGAATGAGAAGATCCGAAGACAACATACCCAAATTGTGCTTACACTACACCCCAAGATACTCAGCCCCAAGCTCTAAACCCCACCCCAAAACCCAAACCCAAAACCCAAAACCCTAAACCCTAAACCCTAAACCCTAAACCCTATCTCGCCCCCCACAAAAAAGGAAAGAACCCAGTGCAGATGTCTTTGCCCGCTTGGGACGAAGATCAAAGGTGATGTAGGGTTTAGGGTTTAGGGTTTAGGGTTTAGGGTTTAGGGTTTAGGGTTTAGGGTTTAGGGTTTAGGGTTTAGGGTACAGAATCCTCCTGGTGCATCCGCCGTGCGCAGGACGAGCCCTCTACTTGGAGGCCCTGTCGACTGCCTAGGGTTTAGGGTTTAGGGTTTTTAAGGTGGGTTAAGGGGCTTCTAAGTACTTCGCAGTCCCTAAACCCTAAACCCTAAACCCTAAACCCTAAACCCTAAACCCTAAACCCTAAACCCTGGTGTTTTTGAACGTGTCGGATACAGCTAGATGTCCTGGCAGCCTTGCAGCCTCAAGTCAACCTTCCGAGGTCCAAGTCTGCTCTCGGCTTTTGGGGGAAGTCTTATGCTGGTTAGGGTTTAGGGTTTAGGGTTTAGGGTTTAGGGTTTAGGGTTTAGGGTTTAGGGTTTAGGGTTTAGGGTCTAGGGTTTAGGGTTGAGGGCTAAGGGCTTAGGGGTTTAGGGGTTTAGGGGGTAGGGGTTAGGGCTTATGGTTCAGATTTAAAGGGTTGAGGGTTGGAACATCCCTTATACGAACAGTCCTGAATAGGGATCATATAATGGGGGGGGGGGGGCACTATATTCCTCAATAAGTACTGATAGTATAAGGGGGGACATTCCAAGTTTAGGGTTCAGGGTTTAGGGCTTAGGGCCTTAGGGGTTTAAGGTTTTAAGGTTTAGAGTTTGGATTTTAAGGCTTGAGGCTTAACAAAGGTTTAGGGATTAGAAGGTTTAGGTTAATTTGGGTCTAAGTGTCCCTAGATAGCCTTCATTATGGGGGAGCCGAGGGGGGGGTAGTGTACCCTAAACCCTAAACGGAGGGTAGTAGCGGAACCCATGATAGAGCTTCAAACGCCGCAAGAAAATCTCGCGAGGCACCTCTTCCGTCAGCTCGGCTTTCGGGGGCTCGTCGCCCAGCCCGTCGTCCTCCTTCTCCTCCTGAATCCCCTAAACCCTAAACCCTAAATCCTAAACCCTAAACCTTAAACCCTGTAGGAATTCCTACAAACCTGAACAGGGCTCGCCTCACTCCGGCAAAACTGCGCAGGAGCGATGCAAACATCACCAAAATAAAAAAACTTTGCTCGGAGGCTCATGGGCAGCTCTAAGGCATCTCAACAGGGTAGCTAGATGCCTTTTTTCTAGGCTGCCCAGTAACCTAGGCTTAAGAAGGGTGCCCTTTTTTTGCGTAAAGAGGTTTATAAGGGAACCTAAACCCCCCAAAAAGGGAATAAGGGTACTACTGGGCATCCTAGTTTTTGGGGTACTCAAGAACCCTACCCCATGAACCCCTACCACCTTCACCACCCCTCAAGCCACTGACTTCGAAAGAGACTATATCTCTCAGCCTGCTGCAAAGGGTTTAGGGTTTAGGGTTGAGGGTTTAGGGTTTAGGGTTTAGGGCTAGTATCGGGCCTCCTCCTTGACGTCCAGCTTCTCCTCCTTCACCTCCTGATTCAGAATAGGGGAGTCTTGAAGGCTCGTAGGTTTCACTTGCTGGGCTGGTGCCTGTCTTAGGGTTCCGATTCCGGGGCAGTTGACTCACAAATCCTTTTGAGCCTGGGTTTGGTGTTTGGCAGAGCTTTTGACGACCCATGAGGTTTCGCAGCACCCGGAGTCCTAAACGCCCTAAACCCTTGAGCCCTACACCTACGCCGCCTAATTCCCCTAACTCCCCCAAACCCTAAATGGTGACAGGAATGGCTTCCTGCTTGAGGTGTGAAATGGCGACGGCCTTCCAATTGCCAAGCGCCGTGTTCCTAAACACCAAGCCCTGATATCAGGTTTAGGGTTTAGGGTAGGTTTAGGGTTTACCCTAAACCCTAAACTCTAAACCCTAAACCCTAAACCCCAAGGATTTAGGGTTATAAAGTTCAAACCCGACAGAGATCGTTGAACCCCTCCGGAACGCTAGACTTCTAAACCACCAATCTTCTTGCCTTTTTCAGCTTCTAGTCCCCAAACCTCTATGCCCTGAACTTCTAGAACTGCTTGTCCCCGAAGGCCTAAACCTTAAACCCTAAACCCTAAACCCTATAAACCCTACACTTCTCGACACTAAAAAAAAGCATCCCCGGCCTCCTCCTTGGCCTCTTCCATGGGGGCATCGCCCTCAGCACCCTCGGCTTTCTTCGCCTGGCACAAGTTCAAGGGTTTAGGGTTTAGGGCTGACGGCTTAGATTTTAGGGCTTGGGGTTTAGGGTTTAGGGTTTAGGGTTTAGGGCTGAGGGCTTAGGGTTTCGGGCTTGGGGTTTAGGGTTTAGGGTTTCCGGCTTAGGGTTTAGGGTTGAAGGCTTGAGAGCTTCGGGTTTAGGGTCTAAGGCTTAGGGTTTTGGGTTTCGGAGTTTTCACGAGGTTGCCGGGGCATCCCCAAAAAGGAACACCTATAGACACACATCACCGATATTTGCAAGGAACCATATCTGCACTCGCCAATAGCGGCGATTTCAACCTCATATGAAGGTTCCCGAAATTTGGGGGTACCTTATTGGGATCCTTCTTTTACGGGAATCCCACTATTGGGGGGGGGGTTTCTATTAGGGGTCCCTTATTCTCGTAAACCCCCGTATTAGAATGGGTATGTGGAGCACAGGACGTTTGTACTGAAACTGTAAAGGACATATACTGGGAGCATAATATTCATGACATTTTTAGGCTCCTGGATTAGATGATGTTAGATGTGTCCGGGCTTGGAATTTCAAGTTCAACGTTCAAGAACTCTAAGCCCTACACCCTAATCCCCAAACCCTAAACCCTCAACCCTCAACCCTAAACCCTAAACGGATTCAAGTGCGAGACTCTCGATTCCAGGACTTCCCACAGGCCTCCTCTTCTTTCTTCCGGGTTTCCTCCAGCTTCTTCCTGGGAGCTAGCAACTCTAACCCCTTGGGTGTAGGGGTTGTTGAGGGTTTAGGGTTTAGGGTTTAGGGTTTAGGGTTTAGGGTGTCGGGTTTAGGGTTTAGGGTTTAGGTCTAGGGTTTGGGGCCCCAGTTGATTGCGAGCATCAATCCCTAAACTGTGACACCCTAACCCCTACACCCTATACACCCTAAATCCAAGTCAGCGGCTTGCGTTGCTCCTCGGCCTTCTTCCGTAGTTCCTGCGTAGCAGGGTTTAGGGTCTAGATGTTAGGGTTAAGAGTTTAGGGTGGAGGGTTGAGGGTGGGGGGGAGGGGTCTTATGTCGGCTACTCAACCCTACGCCTACACCCTCAGACTCAACTCGAAACCCTACACCTCAACACCCCAAACCCTCATGTGGAGAGTACAGCTTAGTGTCTGTTGTAGGTTGTCTTGTGGCTTTCAGCAGCTTTCTTAGGGCTGTATGGGGTGTGGGGTTTGGGGTTTGGGGTTATCCTAAACCCTAAACCCTAAACCCTAAACGCCAAGTTTACCGGGGGGGAGGCCTGCAGTTCGCGCTGGCGCTGTGCAGCGGCTTTCTTTGCCTTCCACTCGGCATCGACCTGACACAGCCATTGTGTCCCTACTTTGGAGAGTTTAGGGTTTAGGGTTCAGGGTTCAGGGTTTAGGGTTTAGGGTTTATGGCTTAGGAGTAGACCCTGAAAAAAAGTATATACACTTTTTTGGTATAAGTAGCTGTAAAAAGCATATTATATACCTTTTAGGTCTTAGTAGCCGTAAATGGAATAATTCCAGAAGCAAAAAATGTATTTAAGTATGGTACTCCAAAAACCCAGGGTGTTGTACCCGAGTGCCCCTTATCTCTCGGGCTTACTGGGGTAGGTTTGGGGGGCCTGTGGATTTTGAATGTCAACAAAGTGTAAGAAAGATGTTCAAACCTACCCCAGCTTGTAGGGTTTAAGGTATTGTTGCTTGAGGGCGTGGGGTTTAGGGCTTGGGACTCATGCATTTCACAGTTCCGATCCCGCACATGCTGCGCGCAAAGAGTACCTCGGGACTGCGCGCACCCTACGTCCTAAACTCGCTGAACGCGAAGCGCCTAATGTGTGAAGAATTGCAGCCAAGCGGATCAGATCCCAACACCCAAAAATCCCCCCCAAAATTCCAGTGCTGCACCTCAACTACGGACCTTTACACAGTCTGAGCTCGAGCCGGTTTCGCTGGGTAGTGCAACTGCAAATATCTGCGTAACCATGTTGCCGGGAAAATGACCTACAGGGGCCTCGGGATTTGAGCACATCTTCCCCTAAGCCTCAGAAGCCTATAATAATCAAACCACTATACCCTACATCCCTGTACCCAACAAACCCTAAACCCTAAACCCTGAACCCTAAACCCTAAACCCCCCACCAACAAAAACACAGTGGGCCTTGGACTGCTTTTCTGCAAGTAGCCGGTTCCAGGAGCGTTGCTTAAACTCCTGCAGCGCGAAACCCTAAGCCCCACACCTTCAACAGTTTAGGGTTTAGGGTTTCTGGTTTAGGGTTTAGAGACACCTAGGACTTACAACCCTAAACCCTAAACCCAAAACCCTGAACCCTCAACCCTAAACCCGAGGCCTGTCCGACTCTTACACCTTCTGAACCTTTACATGAGCCCATACCCTTAAGGTCCCCACAACATGTCCCAAAACTGCAAACCCTGATTGAAGGTTCATGCGTAGCCCATGAGACGGGTCGTAAGCAGGGTGGAAGGACGTCTGTGCCTCTACATAGAGTGCGTGTGAGGGTTTAGGGGTTTAGGGGTTTAGGGGTTTAGGGGTTTAGGGGTTTAGGGGTTTAGGGGTTTAGGGGTTTAGGGGTTTAGGGGTTTAGGGGTTTAGGGAGACCCTAAACACACCCGGCTAGGATCTCAGGCCCTAAACGCATGAACCCGATATCCCCGTAGTCCCCCTCCCGCCCTCCCGCTCCCGCCCCCCTCTGTTGCCTCGCTCGGCTCGCCCATGACCACAAGGGCCTGTGAGTGATTGCTTGGGTGTTGGGCTTTTGGACTGGGAAGTTTACCCTAAACCCTAAACTCTAGGGCTTAGGTCAGTTGCAGACCGAAGCCTGTCAATTTCAAAGGTACGAAACAAGAAAACGCAACACAGAGCCACAAAGCCAGCCTCGTCCTAAACCCTACTCTCGTTAAGCCCTGCTGGAAGAGGGCTTCGAAACGACACATTGAAAGCCTCGTAAATCTGCACCCGAAAGCCGGAAGGGCCTGCCCCCCCTCCCCTGCCGCCAACCCTGATTTTTCGGGTTGCCCTAAACCCTAAACCCTAAACCCTAAACCCTAAACCCAAACCCTAAACCCTAAACCCTAAACCCGAAACCCTAACTTCACACCCTAAACCACGCCGCTGCCCGGCCGTCTTCTTGAAGTGGGGGCTGGAAAAGCGCTGGAGCAGTTCCAATCGCTCCTCGCGGCAAGTAAGGGGAATAGGGGATGGATGTATATGGGTTTAGGCTTAAGGGTTCAATACTTCAGGGTGCAGGGATTTAGGGTTTAGGATTTAGGGTTTAGGACTTAGCTAAGGTCTAGGGTTTAGGGCTAGGGTTTAGGGTCTCGGGTGTATAGCCTTGGCATACGGTAGCTCGAAAGGAGCAAGGCTCAGATCCGGCGGCGACGCCGCGGTGATGTCGTCGGTGCCCTCCGGGGCGTACTCAGTCGAGGCCAAGCCCTCTCGCTTCGCCTCGCTGAACATCTCGCGGTTTAGGCAGACGCAGACGTGGCCGTCGGAGAGAGAGGACAGGGCCTCCTGACCTCTGCGCCCTCTGCCAGCTCATCCATGTCGCAGCCACGTCCCCAACGGTGGCGGCGTCCTGCATGGGCTCATCTGGGAGCGAGCTGCCTTTTAGGCACTGAACCCTAAACCCAAACCCTAGAGTTTACAGCTAGGGTTTAGGGTTTACGGTCTCGGGTTTGGGGTTTAAGGTTTAGGATTTCGGGTTTAGATAGGGTTTAGGGCCTACAACGTGGAGACCTGAAAAATTTATACGCGACCACAACGTACTGGAATTCGGCTGCAAGGTATCTCAGTCCCGAAGACCCGATTAAGAGCTCCACACGTAAAAATTGAGCCGCTAGAGCCTATAACCCTAAACGAAAAAAACCTAAACTCTAAAACCCTGAACCCTCCAACCCTGAAACGCCCCAAAACCTCACACACCAAAACCCAAAGCCCAAAAATGTAAAACCCCAAACAATGCAAGAAATGACCCCCCAAATGCCCCTAAAAACCAAAACCCTAGCACCCTGAAACCCTAACACCCTTGAAAGCAGCCTAACAAGACGTAAACAAAAAGACCATAGACCCTAAAACCATCAAACCCTGAAACCCCAACACCTAAAACCTTAAAACCCCAACCCCCAAAACTGCAAAGAAAGAAAACAAACTAAACAGCCCCTAAATCCCCAAACTCATGAAAGCCTAAACCCCTGAAAGCCTAAACCCCGAAACCTAAACCCATGAAACCCTAACACCCTTAAGGGTTCGTGGGCACGGGCTCTACCCTACTTTGGGGTAGACCCTGGAGAAATAAAAGGTATATACTTTTTGCAAACCCTAAACCCTAAACCCTATAAACCCTAAACCCTAAACCCTCAACCCTAACTTCCCTGGGAGCAACAAGGCCGCAGCAGACACCCCCACGCTCCTCTTTGACCAGGTTCGACTTGACCTGGCAGCTGAGAGCCCGACAACCCACCCTCTGGGGTTTAGGGTTTAGGGTTTAGGGTTTAGGGTTTAGGGTCGAGACTCTACACCTTTGTGGGCACCAGTACTAAAATTTAGACGTTTGAAAGCGCCCATCAATCTAGATCACATAAGCCTTATGCCCTCAAACGTTCGCAGCCGCTCGTTTGGGGTCATGGGGTTGGGGGTTCAGGGGTTCCGTGCTCAGGGCTTAACCCCAAGCCCTGGACCTTTTCTGAAACCCTAAAACCTAAACCCTAAACCCTAAACCCCAAACCCTACAGACCAGATAGGGTTTAGGGTTCAGGGTTTGGCAGGTCAATGAGCTCAGCGGGCGCGGCTTGAGGCAGAGCTTTGAGGTTGGATCTAGGGTATAAGAGGTGGGGTATCAGGTGCTATACCCTAAACCCTAACCCCTAAACCCTAAACCCTAAACCCTAAACCCTAAACCGTTGTAGGGTTCAAGGCCTCCCCCTTCACACTTCAACGGAGGACTCTTGCCTCAACCCTCAGACCCCAAAATCAAAGAAGCCCTGCAGACCCTCTAACCCCAAAACAAATCTTCGGGCAGTTACATGGTCCCTTAACATGACCCTGAAGCCCAAACCCCCAAACGCAAATCCCCTACACCCTGAACCCAAAACCCGAAACCCTAATTAAACCCTAAACCCTAAACCCTGAACCCTAAACCAAAAAACCAAAACCCTCCAAAAGGCCCCCCTTGAGCCGGCGTTGCCTCCATGACCAAGTAGTTCCGCGGGACCATGGGCGCCATGGCCTGTGGAGGGGTTTAGGGTTTAGGGTTTAGGGTTTAGGGTTTAGGGAGTTGAGGGCTTATGGGGTTTCGGGCTTAGGCTTTGGGGTTCAGGGTTCAGGGTAGGCCTCCAAATATTGTATACCTATCACTCCCAAACCCTACAGCATAGAATCCTCCTAACTATAGGAAACCTAAACCCTAAACCCTAAACCCTAAACACTAAACACTAAACCCTAAACCCTAAACCCTAAACCCCAAGTAGCTAGAGCCTAGGGGGTCGGGCCTTGATGACGCGCTGGATGCTGCCGTCTTCCATGCTGGGCAGGTTGTAGGCGAAGCTGGGCCTGCTGTCAACAAAGGTTTAGGGTTCAGGGTTTAGGGTTTAGGGTTTAGGGTTTAGGGTTTAGAGTTAGGGGTGTAGGGTGTCGGGTTTGGGGTTTAGGGCACCTAAGCCCCAAATGATTCGATTGCTGTTGTCTCCTCGTCAGTGGCGATTCAGGAGCCTGGAAAACGAGGTAGAAGCCCTAAATAAACGCTGAACCCAGATGCCCTGACCAAACTACGCCATTGATCTCGACATCAGGCATCCGTCCGTGCCGTACTCGTTTGTGTCGCCCTACACACTCAACCCCGAAACCCTAAGCTCACTTAACCGCCACACTGAATGCTGCTGCTTGAAGGCTAACTCGAGGGCTCTAAACCCTAAACCCTAAACCCTAAACCCTAAACCCTAAACCCTAAACCCTAAACCCTAAACCCTTACACCCCAAAGCCTAATATCTGGGGCTCAGGGGCTTCAAGCTTATATGGGTTTAGGGTTGGGGTTCGTACAACCCACGCTGGGCAAGCTGGGCCTATTCTTTGCGCTATTTGGAGAAAGGGTTTAGGGTTTAGGGTTTAGGGTTTAGGGTTTAGGGTCAAAAAGTTCAAGATTCATCTAATGACTACATGACGAAATAAGTAGGTGTAGGGCTCATTGACATACATAAGGTATGGGATATCATTCCTACAGAAACAAGAAGGCTCAACAACACAAACCCTAAACCCTATATCTTAAACCCTAAACCCTAGATTCTTAAACCCTAAATCCTAAACCCTAAACCCTAAATCCTAAACCCTAAACCCCATATTCTTAAACCCTAAATCTTACTGGCCCAAAACCCATGGAAACAAAAGTTGAAACTTTCAGAATAAACTACCTTACAAGAAGCCCAAAAGATGAGTTGGGTTTTGAGCCAGTAAGAAATCCTAAACCCTAAACAAAGGTCTGGGATTGGCCGCGGGGCTTGTCGTTGCAAGCGCCACCGTGGACGCGAGGTCGCGGTAGTCCACCTTGGTTGGGGTGCAGGGCTGTAGGTCCAAGATGAGGGGTTAGGGGTTTAGGGATTTAGGGATGTAGGGATTTATATAGGGTTTAGGGTTTAGAGTACATGGTCAACTCTCAAAACTACCCGAAACAATGAAGAACAGGGACACAGCAAGAAACGAGAACTTGCCGAAGTGACCATGCTGAAGTTTTCGGGATGTCAGTTGGGGCGTTTGCGGTTAGGGTTTAGGGCTTCGGTTTGGGGTTGAAGAGTTCTGATGATCAGCTGAGGGCCTATGACCTACTTATGTGTACTTGTTGAGGTTGCCCTAACCCTAAACCCTAAACCCTAAACCCTAAACCCTCAAAGGCCTTGCAGTTTAGACCCAAAGCCCTAAACCTTAAACCGCAAACACTAAACCTCGAGTTGCCATTCGCATCGTGGGGTTTAGGAGCAAATCTCGTCTTCTTAGCCCTAAACCCTAAATCCTAAAAAACCCAAACCCCAAACCCTAAACCCTAAACCCTGAACCCTAAACCTAAGCCCTAAACCCTAACCCTAAACCCTCAACCCTAAACCATAAACCCCAAACCCTTAAACCCTTTGTTTTGGGCCGCTTGGCCACCGGTCGCAGCCCAGTCCTGGATCTTTCGGTCGCTGAGCTCCACGTAGCCTAGGGCTTGGGGTTTAGGGTTTATGGTTTAGGGTTTGGGGTTTAGGGTTTAGGGTTTAGAGTTAGGGCTTAGGGTTTAGGGTTTAGGGTTTAGGGTTTAGGGTTTAGGGTTTGGAGTTTGGGGTTTGGGGGTTAGGGTTTGGGGTTTAGGGTTTAGGGTTTAGGTCTTAGGGTTTAGGGTTTAGGGTTAGGGTTTAGGGTTTGGGGTTTGGGGTTTGGGGTTTAGGGTTTAAGGTTTAGGGTTTGGGGTTTTGGGCTTGGGGTTTAGGGTTTAGGGTTTAGGGTTTGGGGTTTGGGGTTTGGGGTTTAGGGTTTAGGGTTTGGGGTTTAGGGTTTGGGGTTTGGGGTTTAGGGTTTGGGGTTTGGGGTTTAGGCTTGCGGTTTTAGGGCTTAGGGTTGGGGTTTGGGGTTTAGGGTTTGGGATTTAGGGTTTGGGGTTGTCTAGGGTTTCGGGGGCTTGGGCTTGTTTAAGCTATTTGGGCTGGGATGTGAGGGAGCAAATTGGATTTAGGGTTGAGGGTTGAGGTTTACAACGAGCTTCATCGGAGAACTCACTTAAGCTTTCAAGCCTCTGATCTACACCGGCTACACTTGGAACCTGACAACCCCACAACCATACAACCCTGAACCCTAGACCATAAACCCTAAACCCTAAACCCTAAACCCTAAACCCTAAACCCTAAACCCTAAACCCTGCATAACCCTCTGCTGAGGGACTTGGGTTCTTCGTGAGGAAGTCATCCAGCCACTCAAAGGTGCCCTCGTCGGGGATGGCAACCTTAACTGGTGCGGAAGAATAGATTGTGGCAATTAGGGCTGAAGGCTTAGGGTTTAGGGCTTGAGGCTTCGGGTTTGGGGCTTTAGGGCTGATTAAGGGCTTAGTTTGGGCGTTTAGAGGTTTGGGGGCTTAGGGGTTTAGGGCAGTAGGGGCTTGGGGGGTACAGGGTTCAGGGGGTTAGGGCTTGGCGCTTTACTGGGAGGATCATTGGGTCGCGAAACCTGGGTACAGTAAGAGGGCAACGAAAATCTCATCTGATTAGAACCACATGTGGGCCCTAAACCCTAAACCCTAAACCCTAAACCCTAAACCCTAAACCCTAAACACCAAACCTTAAATCCTAAACTTCTACAAGGCTCGAACCCTGGGATGCCTCCGAGACACCCTCTCTCTGAAAAAGCGATTTCTGAACACATTCCGCTTAAACCCAATAGGCGAGTTTAGGATTTGGGGTTTAGGGTTTAGGGTTTAGGGTTTAGGGTTGAGGGCCCAAATATGGTTTAGGGTTGGAAACCCGAAACCCTAAACACCCAAAATCCTAAACCCTAAAACCCTACAAACCCTACACTCCCAAGCCCATATCAAAGCAAATAGGCCTTAAACCACTAAACAACCTTAGATCCCAAGCCAATGTACGTAAACCCTAAACCCAAAGACCTAAACAACCCTAAATCCCAAACCCATATAAACCCAAACCCTAAACCCTAAACCCTAAACCCCAAACCCTGAACCCTAAACCCTAAACCCTAAAGCCCGTGAAGCACTTTGAAAGCCCCGGCGGCAGGTACCAGAACCTCACAGCGGCCGCTCTTTCCAGGATCCTTGGCCTCCAAAGACGCGACTTGTTTAGGGTTTATAGGGTTTATAGGGTTTATGGGGTTTATAGGGCTTATAGGGTTTATAGGGTTTATAGGGTTTATGGGGTTTGTAGGGTTTATAGGGTTTATAGGGTTTATAGGGTTTATAGGGTTTATAGGGTTTATAGGGTTTGTAGGGTTTATAGGGTTTATAGGGTTTATGGGGTTTATAGGGTTTATAGGGTTTATAGGGTTTATAGGGTTTATAGGGCTTATAGGGTTTATAGGGCTTAGAGGGTTTATAGGGTTTATAGGGCTTATAGGGCTTATAGGGTTTATAGGGTTTATAGGGTTTACAGGGTTTATAGGGTTTAAAGGGTTGATAGGGTTCACAGAAACCTTGGTTTAGGGCTTAGGGTTTAGGGTGAGCCCTTCTAACACATCAAACCACGACCTTCACACCTCGCTACCCTGAAGCCCTAAACTCAAAACCCTAAACCCTAAAGCCCTACTTCTAAACCCTAAAGCCCAAAGCCCAATTCGCTACACCCCCCCCCCCCCCCCCCCAGCCTCCAAACCTCTAAGCCCCCAAACCATTTAAGCCCTAAACCCCAACCCTAACACCCTGAACCCTAAGCCTTGAACCCTAAAACCTTAGAATCCTAAGCTTTAAAGCCCTACGCCCTACGCCCTACGCCCTACGCCCTACACCCTAAACCCTAAACCCTAAACCCTAAACCCTAAACCCTAAACCCTAAACCCTAGGAAGCCCGAAACTGCGGTTTGGGGCGCAGCTTTCCGGCCTCCGCCATGTCTGCCGCGGCCGCGCCCTGCAGTGTGCGGCACACGAACCTGAAGGGGGTTTAGGGTTTGGGTTCAGGGCTTGGGTTTAGGGTTTGGGTTTGGGGTTTCGGGTTTGGGAACCCTAAACCCTAAACCCTAAGCCCTAAGCCCTAAACCCTAAACCCTAAACCCTAAACCCTAAACCCTAACCCTAAGCCCTAAACCCTAAACCCTAAACCCTAAACCCCAGGCGAGCCACGGGAGCGGCTTCAGCAGCTCTGGGCCCATGTTGATCTGCAGGGAGACGTTGCGGTAGCCTTCAGGTGCAAAGGGATCCCCGGGCTGGCGTTCTGTGCCAATACAGATAGGGTTTAGGGTTTAGGGTTTAGGGTGTAGGGTTCAGGGTTTTAGGGGGTTTAGCCAGTTTCGGGTGCAGGGTCCGAAGTCTCAGGTTTGGGGGTTTGCGGCTGGTGAGAGGGGTTGAAGACGCCTTTTCTGCCATAGGGAGTGGGGTGCCATAGGCATTTAGGTGGTCTAGTCTTCCCTTGTACTCGTAAATCCTAAACCCTAAACCCTAAACCCAAAACCCTAAATCTATTCCCTAGTACTGCCCTACTTGTAAAGATCCTCAGGTACCTCCTAGGCCAGCTTTGGCCCAGCTCCCTTCGGAACCCCAAACCTACTTTTTCGTGGGCTTTGGTTATGCAACCCTTTTATTCGGTAACCTACTCAAAAGTAGCTTTGGGGTTCTTAAGGTAGGGTTTAGGGTTTAGGGTTTAGGGTTTAGGGTTTAGGGTTTAGGGTTTAGGGTTTAGGGTTTAGGGTTTAGGGTTTAGGGTCTAGGGTCTAGGGTCTAGGGTCTAGGGTCTAGGGTCTAGGGTTTAGGGTTTAGGGTTTAGCTTAGGGCGTGGGGCTGGAGGAGTTGCCCAGGGTTTTAGGGCTTTTGCATTCTGGAAATATCCAGGTTTTCGGGTTTGGGCGGCTTTTGGAGGCTTTTCCCAAACGCGAAACGGCCCTAGGGTTTAGGGTTTAGGGTTTAGGGTTTAGGGTTTAGGGTTTAGGGTTTAGGGTTTAGGGTTTAGGGTTTAGGACCCTAAACCCTAAACCCTAAATGCTGAACTTAAAAACCCAACACGCCGGCCCAGGAACAGATGTGCGGAAAGAGGGTCTTGTTGCGCATGGACTCTGGCAAGGGCAGCCTGGGCTTTCTGCCGTCTAGGGTTTAGGGTTTAGGGTTTAGGGTTAGGGTTTAGGGTTTAGGGTTTAGGGTTGAAAGAGCTAGCGCACCCTAATTGAGTACTAGTTCTCCATCGGGAATTTGGGAATCAGGTACCTTATACCCCTTTAAGCTGTTGAGGGATGAGACGGGGCGCCTGAGTGCGAAGCACCAGGACAAGGACCCTAAACCTTAAACCCATTCGACAGCGCTGGCGCGCGGGTGTGTGTGTGTGTGTGTGTGTGTGTGTCCCTAAAACCTAAACCCTAAACCCTAAACCCTCTCTGTGTGTGTGTGTGTGTGTTTGCTTGACTTTCCTGTTGACTTTTGGGCTTAGAGGTTCAGGCTTTAGGCGGCTTCAGTGTGTAGGGTTTAGGGTTTAGGGTTTATAGGGTTATAGGGTTATAGGGTTTAGGGTTTAGGGTTTTTGGGTTTAGGGTTTAGGGTTTATAAGGTTTAGGGTTTAGGGCTTTGTTAGTCCCATGATCCAATCGAACAGACCCAAGGGCGCCCCCTGGGCTACTAAGATAAGGTAAAGCTTTACCCTTACTTGGAGTAGACCCTGGAAAACTAGGTATATACTTTTTAGGTAGCTATCATAAGAACCCAGAACAAAAAAGGGTTCAAGTATAGTACTCCAACACCCAGGTTTTTAGGTTCATCCGGAGCGCGGTTCGGAGACGCGCGCGCCGTCTCGGAACATGCTCATGGTGTTTGCCAGCTCGCCTTGGCCAAGTCTAAGCACTGGCTGCTTCTTAGTAGGGGACTGATGGAATGAGGTACTCTATAGAATCCCTGAAAAGGCATATACAGGGCCCTGGTTCCCTCATTCCCTACTATCTTGAAACCAGAGGGAAGATTCCCGAGCTGGCCCGGCCCCCTTGGCACGAAAGAGGGGAATTGCAAACAAGCTCAGCGCAAGCAGGTCCTAAGGTTTAGGGTTTTGGGTTTAGGGTTTAGGGTTTGGGGTTAGGGTTTAGGGTTTAGTGGGTTCTAGAAGGTCCTAATCTCCAGCCACCCCAAGCTGCCCACCGAAACCCGAAATCCTTGAATCCTTGAAGCTCCACATGCTTAAGCCTCGGAATCCACAGACCCCTAAACCCCTGAGCACTGAAACCCCTAAACCCTAAACTTTAAACCCTAAACCCTAAGCCCTAAACCCTAAACCCTAAGCCCTAAACCCCAAACGACCCTTCAGCCCTCCTAGCGGTTTAGTTCAGGGTCTTAGTGCAACGCAAGTTAGGGCTTCATAGGTATACGAGATACCCTAAACCCTAAACCCCAACATGTATACATAATTATACAAATGAATAAATAAACATAAATAATCAACAAATAAATCAAGAAACAAATAGATACATAATACATACATATGTAAATAAATATGTATATGGTTGAGAGTTATGGGCTCAGGGGAGCGTATGGTGAACAAGTTTACGTGCTATTGTAGCCATGTGGCTGCCGTCTTCGAGGTTCAAGACCACGGCTACCGTCTGATCCCGGGTGAACAGCTGCGACTTCTTTTGCCGGAGCTTTCCTGAGGGCGAGGGCCCCTAAACCCTAAACCCTAAACCCTAGACCCTAAACCCTAAACCCTAAACCCTAAACCCTAAACCCTAAGCCTGAAATCCTTCCAACCTCAAGCCCCTAAGTTAAGCCTTTTACACCCCTGTCAGCCCCCTAAACTAAAATGGACCCAGGAAGCTGCCTTTTCCCAAAAGCTAAGCAGCCCTAGGGTTTAGGGTTTAGGGTTGAGGGTTTAGGGTTCAGGGTTGAGGGTTTAGGGTTTAGGGTTTCTTGTAAAGTTCCAAGTATGGGCCCTGAATTCGGGTCCCTTGATAAATAACCCTTGTAAACACTATACATACTACGGGCCCATACTTCGGATCTCAAAAATGGACCCTAAACCCTAAACCCTAAACCCTAAACCCTAAACCCTAAACCCTAAACCCTAAACCCTAAACCCTAAACCCTAAACCCTAAACCCTAAACCCTAAACCCTAAACCCTAAACCCTACCACTGGGCTACCCGCTACCAAAAAGACTTCGAACAGGACCCAAGCATCCAGCGGTAAACCAGCCCTCCGAGTCGAAGTACGCAGCTTCCTCACAGGAATTGCTTTGGGGGAGGGCATGGCGTTTAGGGCTTGGGGTTTAAGTTGAGTTTAGGGTTTAGGGTTTAGGGTTTAGGGTTTAGGGTTTAGGGTTCAGGGTTTAGGGCTGCATATATCCCAGTAGGGGGGGGGGGGGGGGGGGGGGGCACTCCCGGCCCGAACCTGATGCCATAGACCCAGAGTTTGGGGTTTGGTGTTCGGTGTAGGGGTTAGGGTCAAGGGTTGACCCTAAACCCTGGACCCTAGACCCTAAACAGTGAGCCCTAGACGGGTTAAGGGGCCCAACCCCAGTTATCCATTTGGGTTCTTAACCCTACTACTTTGGGGTAGACCCTGAAAAAATTGAATATACTTTGTAGGTATAGGTAGCTAAAATAAGAAACCAGAACCAAAAAAAATGTACTAAAGTAGAGTACTCCAAAGCTCAGCTTTATGGGTTGTGTGTTGTACAGGCCGGTGGCCTGTCTATCTGTTACCCTTATACCTCCTTGTAGCCTCTAGATACCCTTGTAAGAACCCCCTATAAAACAGCGACCCTACTTAAAGAGACCACCAACCCATCAAAGTTGACCCTAATGCGACAAACCCTAAACCTCAAACCCTAAACCCCAAACCTCAAACCCCAAACCTCAAACCCTGAACCCTAAACCGTGAACCGTGAGTGTGTAGAGGGCTTGATCCTCACTCTCCGCGAAGAGCAGCGGCGAGCCCCCAGTGGAGAAGCCAATGCGAACCGTCCTTAGAGCGCCAAACTTGCAGTTAGGGTTTAGGGTTTAGGGTTTAGGGTTTAGGGTTTAGGGTTTAGGGTTTAGGGTTTAGGGTTTAGGGTTTAGGGTTTAGGGTTTAGGGTTTAGAGGCCTAACCACAGCTCTGTGGGTTGGGGTTTAGGGTTTAGGGTCTAGGGTGGAGGTGTAGTAGGAGCTCCCTTAACTCTAAAAGCTACGCCCTAAACCCTAAACCCTAAACCCTAAACCCTAAACCCTAAACCCCAAAACCATTCGGCAATAAGTCTAAGGAGTGGCCAGTGGGCCACAAACCGCACGGAAGAACTTCGGAACCCCAAACCTCAAACCCTAGACCTGAGGTACCTGGAAGGCCAAAACCCTAAACTCCAAAAACCTTAACTCTAAACCCTGAACCCTAAACCCTAAACCCTAAACCCCCCAAAAGAAGCACTTTTGCTCCCATGGCCCTACATTCCGGGGAGCTCTAACCCATGAATTTGTAGGGTTGGGGGATGACAGCGACTTACCCTAAACCCTAAACCCTAAACCCTAAACCCTAAACCCTAAACCCTAAACCCTTAACCCTTAAACCCTTAACCCTTAACCCTTAAACCCTAAGCCCTAGACCCTAGGCCCTAAAGCCCCTAAAGCCCACACAACGAGTAGGTGGGATTTCGGGTTTGTAGGGTTGCAAGAGTCTTTCCGAATTTGGACCCTAAAGCCTAAACAAAGTACGGCAGTGTTCGCTAAGCCGATAATTAAGTCCCATCGGATCTTGGCTTAAACCCACTCTAACCCCGAAACCCTCGACCCTCACCTTAAAACACTGAAATCCCAAAAGCACTGAGAGCCCTCCAGGCCCTAAAGGCCTTTGAACACCCTTACAGTAACCTAAACACAAAGCCCGAAAACCAAACAAATGAAACACCCTAGAACCCCAAACCCCAATACCCAAAGCCTAAACCCCAAACCCCAAACCCCAAACCCTAAACCCTAAACCCCAAACCCCAAACCCTAAGCCCCAACCCCAAACACCAAACCCCAATACCCAAAGCCTCAACCCTAAACCCTAATCCCTAAACCCCAAACCCCAAACCCTAAACCCCAAACCCTAAACCCCAGCTTAGCGGCTGCTTCGGCTGCGGGCCCCGCCCCTGCGCGGCCTCTGCGGGGCTTAGCAACTCGAGGATCTTCACCTCGTACCTGAGCCACTTGGGGGGTTTAGGGTTTAGGGTTTAGGGTTTAGGGTTCAGGGTTCAGGGTTTAGGGTTTAGGGTTTAGGGTTTAGGGTTTAGGGTTTAGGGTTTAGGGTTTGGGGGCTTAGAGTTTGGCAGCTTTAGGGTATGGGGTTTAGGGTTTAGCAGGTTTGGGTTGAGCAGGTTTAGGGTTTAGAAGTTCAGGGGTTTTAAGGGTTGAGCAACAAGCAGGTTTGGTGTTGTTCTTGCTTTTGGCTGGGGGGGGGGAGAGGTCAGCAGGTTTTGAATAGTGGGTTACTAAGATTTGAAGTTTCGTAGCTTATTTAGAGGATTTATACATTAGGCTTCTGGAGTTGAGGGTTTACTGTCCATCCGGCGGTTTTAGGGGTCGAGGAATTCACGAGAGCGGTTGAGAGTTTCAGAGTTCAGGGAGTTAGACCCGGGTTCAGAAAATCATGGTTGAGGGTGAAACCCAGAATTGGCTGACTGTTTAGGGATGAAAAATTGGTGTATCGGGATATGCTGAACTCAAGGACATGCGAGGCCAGTTGAGCACATCAAAAAGCTCGGGCAGAAGAATCGCCAGATATCATAAATAAATTTGCAGATCGAATAGGCAGGACCAGGTAGGATCCCCAACACCTCTCGTTTACATGTCTTTGTCTAGGTCTACGTGTGCGACATTCTTCCGACGATGGCTCACACGTCGTAACAGAGTACGTGCGCACGCGCACACTTGTGGTGACTGCTCTTGCACGCCTGCAAGGGCACCACCTTTTCTTCTTCGCTACAAGCACACTAGTCTTGCTAGCCCAGCAACCATGCTATGACAAGGGTACCCTTTTTTGGCATTGGGTTGGTTACTTTACAAGGCAACCCAAAACCAGCAGAAAGGGTAAAGGGCACCACTGGGCTACCAAGATCTACCAAGTAGTGTACCCTAAACCACATGGTTTGACAAGTCTGAGGTCAACTGCACTAAGGTTTCAGGCAGGGACGTCTCAGTCCCCAACCTTTCAGGCATAAGGAATACCTTAAACCCTAAACCCCAAACCCCAAACCCCAAGCCCTAAACCCTAAACCCTAAACCCTAAACCCTAAACCCTAAACCCTAAACCTTAACCCCTAAATTCCAAGCCCCAAACCCTTTTCCGCTTGTCGGCCAAATGGCGCATATCTGCCCGACTTCACACCCACGTTGGCTCGAGCGCCAGCTGTCAGGTGCTGCATGCCACCTCCCAGAGGTTTCAGAGTTCAGTTGGGGGTTTAGGGTTTAGGGTTTGGGGTTTAGGGTTTAGGGTTTCGGGTTTAGGGTTTTGGGTTTAGGTTTTCGGGTTTGGGGTTTAGGGTTTGGGTCTTCGGGTTTAGGGTACACGGGTTGGCGGCTTTCGGTGCTACGCCCGGGTTTAGGGTTTAGGGTGACGTAAACCCTAAACAGGTGTGGTAGTAACCCCACGACCTGAACCCATGTCTTAAAATCCAAGCCCAAGCCCTGAACGCCGCGAACCCAGTGCTGTAAACCCTGCATCCCAATCCCTGCCGCCGAAACCGAGAATTCTAGGGTTTAGGGCTGAGGCATACCCCTAAACCCTAAGCCCTGGATACACCCTCAACCTTTGCATGAGCCGTCCATTCGCCTTCCGTCAGGGCCATGAGCATCTTGTTGTCCTGACTCTTGGATTCCCGGCTTTGGTGTAGGGTTTAGGGTTTAGGGCTTAAGGCTCAGGATGTATAGTTTAGGATTCATATGGTTTGGGGTTACGGGTATCCCTAAACCCTAAACCCTAAACCCTAAACCTTAAAGACTCTACACAGCTTCACAGCTGCATCGCCAGATCGCCTCCCTGACCTCCAGCGTTGAAACTTTAAACGCTGACGTCTGAATAAACAAAAACGTGTGGTTTGGGGTGTAGGGTTTAGGGTTTAGGGTTTAGGGTTTAGGGTTTAGGGTTTAGGGTTTAGGGTTTAGGGTTTAGGGTTTAGGGTTTAGGGTTTAGGGTTTAGGCCCAAATCCTGAGCCCTAGGCCCGAAGCCTGTGAATCCCAAAACCTCCCCGCCAGGGGGCCATGGCAGGAAAGACGTTGAGGGTGGTGTCGGAGGCGTTGAAGCCGATCCTGAGGCAAAAAAAGTAGTTTTTCGAGGGGAGGAGACAAGGGTTTGGGGATTCGGGTTTGGGGTTCGGGGTTTGGGGTTTAGGGTTTAGGGTTTCGGGTTTAGGCATTCGTCAGATGTTTCAATGTTGCGTACAGGGTCGTCCAGATGCTGCTTCATGGACGCTCTACGGGGTTTAGGGTTTGGGAGGTGCGCCTCCCCCCCCCCCCCCAAATCAAAAGTAGATATACGTTGGCTAGAAGGTCGGGCTCTGAACTCTAAACTTGGGATGCTCCCCCTTATACTAACCTAAATAGGGATTATGGTACCCCCCCCCCCCCAATAATAATCCCGATGAAAAACAGCTAGTAAAAGGGGTTAACATCCCAATTCAAGACCTTGTAAGCCCTACACCGTAAACCCAAAGTGCCGCAGAGACTTCCCCAAAGCACAATTGCCAGGGGATGAAATTGGATAATCCCCTCCCCCCAAACTTAGACACCGCCTACCCCATGATATTAAATACCCCCCCTCCCCCCCCCCCCCCATAATAGAACTAAATTTGGGGGAAGGGGGGGGAGGGGGGAGGTAGTCATTAGGGGGTAGGGGGGGGGTTAAAGGTTAAAATAAGGGGGGAGGGAACTACTGCTTAGGCTCCTAGATTCTGGCTTAGGGCTCCAGTCTCAAGGGTTTTGTCCTCTGAGGATTGTGGCCCTAAGCCTTAACTATCAATCCCAAGCCCTAACCCTGCAACGAAAACCCAAAACCCCAAAAGCACACACACACACACACACACACACACACACACCCATCCACCCACCCACCCACCCACCCACCCACCCACGCACCCACGCACCCACGCACCCACGCACCCACGCACCCACGCACCCACGCACCCACGCACTCACGCACCCACGCACCCACGCACCCACGCACCCACGCACCCACGCACCCACGCACCCACGCACCCACGCACCCACGCACCCACGCACCCACGCACCCGCCCACCCACGCACGCACGCACGCACGGACGCACGGATGCACGGCCGCACGGACGCACGGACGCACAGACGCACGCACGCATGCACGCACGCACGCAAGGAAGCACGTGCAACCCTAAAACCCTAAACCCTAACACCCCTCAACCCGAAACCCTGAACCCTAAAACTTAGCACCCCAAAACCTCTCAACCACAAAACCCTAAACCCTAAACCTTAAACCCTAAACCCTAAACCCTAAACCCTAAACCCTAAACCCTAAACCCTAAACCCTAAACCCTAAACCCTTACCCACAAAACCCAAACACAAGAGCAAACCGAGGGTCTTCACTTTGAGGACAGGTCGATGGTCCGGCTCGGCGTCCGGCTCCTTCGCGAGGTGCAGGGGTTTAGGGTTTAGGGTTTAGGGTTTAGGGTTTAGGGTTTAGGGTTTAGGGTTTAGGGTTTAGGGTTTAGGGTTTAGGGTTTAGGCGGTTTAGGGTTTAGAACTTAGGGTTTAGGGTTGAGGCTTTGGGGTTTGGGTTTAGGCCCCCCCGCCTCCCCCCCCCCCCCGCCGTTTTCAGGGTCAGCTGGTCACACGATTCGAGGCTAGATTTTGGGGGCTTGAGGTGGAGGATGGTGTAGCATCTTCCTTGGAGGTTCGTGTGCGTTGGTAAGTAGGGTTTGGGGTTAGGGTTTAGGGTTTAGGGTTAGCGTTTAGGGTTTAGGGGTTAGAACTTAGGGTTTAGGGTTTAGGGTTTAGGGATTAGGGATTAGGGTTTAGGGTTCTGGGCTTTGGGCTTCGGTAGGTTGAGGTTGCTGGGAGAGTTTTGTTGTGCATCGAATAAGGGCATACTTCCAACCTCCAACTGCCCATGGGCGTCCAAGTCGGGTTTGGGTTTCGTCATTCTGCCACGGTTTGGGGTTTAGGGTTTAGGTTTTAGGGTTTAACAAATGCCTTCATTCAGACATCATTGGCCCTAATGAGAGGGGCCCTATAGGGAGGGCGGGAGGGATATGCATTCTGGTCATGCTTGGGTGAATAAGGCCCCTAAACTCCTAAATCCCTAACCCTAAAACCTCAACACTGAACCCTAAATCCTAGACCCAAGCCCCGTGGACGAAGGCAAGCCTGTTTACTCGCCATTTTCTTGGGTGGTTTAGGGCTTAGAGGCAAGGGCTCCAAACCCTAAGCCCAAGAAAACCCTGCAACCCTTCAGCCCTATAAACCAAATAAACCATATAAACCCTGTAAACCCTATAAAACCCTACAAACCCTATAAACCCTAAGCCCGAAATGCTGCGGCCCAAGAATTTGAAGCCGCACCCTGGTTCTGCTTACTGTACGGGCTAGGCGATAACCAGGTGGGCCCTTTAAACCCTCTGAAATATGACCCTGTTAGACCCAGTCAGGGAATATTCGATACTTCGAACTTAGGGTTAGGGTTAAACCCAGTCAGGGAAAATTCGATACTTCCGAACTTAGGGTTAGGGTTCCAGGTTTAGGAGTAGTTCTCTACACTCGGGCCCTGTTGTGGTCCTTCTTCTAAGGCTTCCGTACTATCTATATATATATATTGAGAGAGAGGGAGAATCCAAAAGGGGACGCCAATTTAGAGGGCGACCCATATATCCCAAGGGCCTACGCAGATAGAAGGGGGTCTGCGTAGAGTCCCTCCAGCTAATTTTGTATCGTCCAACGCCGGGGGTGTGACTAGGCTGCCCAGTAACCTAGGCTTAAGAAGGGTACACTTTCTTGCTTAAAGGGGTTTTATAAGGGAGCCTAAACCCCCCAAAAAAGGGGACTAAGGGTACTACTGGGCATCCTAGGTGAGCTCAAGCGGATGGGGACCCTGCACTGTACAGACAGCAGGAACCTCGCCCAAAAAAAAGTCTCAGAGGAATCACGGTCTCAAGTGCTCTCTGAGTCGGCGGGAAGTTGTGTGGGTGGCTGTCAAAATGATGATCCCTGTTGGGGTACCCTAAAAATTAGGTGCCGTAATTATCATAGGGATCCAAAAAGGGGGCCATAATTTTGACAACCACCCATGTGTCTGTTTGAAAGAGGAGTTATAAGGTGCTGAGAGCTTTCATTTCCCTACCCGACTCCTCCCTGTGTGTCTCCAACACGTGGGGGAATGCGAGCGCGGAGACAGGGGCAGGCCATGTGTGAAAGGCACTGGTGATCCTGGAACCACAAACAATCCGCTCAGGTTCACAGGAAACGCCAGAACGAAGAAACTAAACCGCAGGGATATGTGTTGCTTGCATCAAATCAGCACTTCTCAAAAAATTGCAGTTGCGATACCGGTATGCGTGGTACAAACATTTCGTTAAGCCGTTTAAACCTGAACACCTACTTCGGAGTAGACCCAGGCATAAAGTATATACTTTTTAGAGAAGTGCATGCTGAGCGGGCAGACTCCCGCTGAAGGCCCGAGCCAATCGCCCATAACTGCTTGACAGTCGAGGGCGGGTTTGCTTCACCATGTGGCACACAACCTTAAGAAGGTCTACCTACAGCAGCTTATCACATCGAAAGGCGCTCTCTGGCGGGATTCCCGCGTGATGTCGCGGGTTGAACCAAGCGCCACTATACCGGCACAGTTCGCTCACTTTTGTGATTGCATCTGCAGCTTGTAGTACCTTGGAGACAAGACAAAACGTTGCTCATTGATTCATCCATTCCTTCAAGCGTGCCATCAATGAATATGCGTGGCTGCCAGCACTTCTAAATTGGGCTAACGAGTGCTTTCGTTGCTCTGCATTGTTTTACTTCATGCGTGAAGGTGCCGCTTTGCTATTCTGAACTCTAGCGTCACAGCATGGTGCTCTCTCAGCTTGGGGGGGGGGGGGGGGGGGGTGGTGCGTTGGACAGGTGTCCACGTCCATGTCCATGATACAAGCACAAACTACAAGTACTGGACTAACGGGTATAAGGAGGGAATTGTATTCCCCTATATAACCCCTATAAATATATAATTATATATATATACCTTTTTGAGTCCCTACATACCGAAGCAGCCCCGAAATACCCTCCTTTAGTGCGTTTCCATTCCGCCCTATATAAACCCTAAACCCTAAACCCTACACCCTCAACCCTAAACCCTAGCGACGCAAACACAAACTACAATGCACTTGACGTCAGCAACATGATGCGCCTACACATCACGACAACCTCAAGCGCATGAATCACCATGACGACGGCGTTTGCCTACCTAGCCAACCCTGAAGCCTACTTGGCTGCACTCAGGAGGGTAGCTATAAATTCAACTTTTAGCTGCCTTATTAAGAAACCCAATAAGCCCAAAAAGGGTAAGGATCTAAAGTTACGGTCAAGTACCACAAAGCCTGAACACATACAAGTGGAGCTAGGCTTTCTTGGGGTATTTGCTTTGGTTTGTTGGGGGTATTTGTTTTGGTTTTCATGTGTCCTCTAGGGTTTAGGGTTTAGGGCTTTCGGGGTTTAGGGTTTAGGGTTAGGGTTCAAGGTTCAGGCGTTAGGGTTGAGGGTTGAGGGTTTAAGGGGTTTAGGGTTTAGGGTCTAGGGTCTAGGGTTTAGGGTGAAAGAAAACCGAAAACACACACCAAAAAATACCCAAAAAGAACCCCCACCGTATACAAGTTGGCTTATGCTAACAGTCCTAACTAGGGATTTGTAGCATCCTCATCTATAGTCCCTATTAAGGACTGCTAGCATCCCCATATACAAGTTGCAACCACTCCTTGAGATTTAAGTTTTCTGCTGTCCCTAAACCCTAAACCCTAAACCCTAAACCCTAAACCCTAAACCCTAAACCCTAAACCCAAAAAAAACCTACCCGTATTCAAAGCCAAAGTCACACGCCCTTGAGAGCCATCAGCTCTTCGTGGTTGCCCCTCTCCACAACGCGGCCATCTGCATTCACGAGGATGACGTCGCAGCCTGGCACCACAGCTTCGTACTGTTTGGGTTTAGGGTTTAGGGTTTAGGGTCTAGGGTTCAGGGTTTAGGGAGTAG